AAATTTGCAAATTTTGGAAGGCTATATTTTTTACATTTTACAACATTTCGCAACCAAACTTTGCAATTTTACTAATTTTAGTATACCCTTTTCAGGAATATACTTTTTTTGCTAAGATATGAATTAGTCTATAATGGGGAATTGTCTATTGGTCCCCATTATCTATTTTTGTTTCTCTAAATAAAGAGCTAGAGTTTTTGTTTCTCTAAATAAAGATAAAGAGCTAGAGGGGGGACCAAAATTTATGTTCTTGTTTTGCCGGGGGGGTGGCTTTGAAAATTTTACTTGTCTTAAGAGGGGGCAATGAAAAAATATTATAACTGTAGAGTTTCTCCTCAGTCTCCCCCTGTACAATAAATAATGAGCAGTCCCTAACTAGCTCAGCAATTACCGCACTCACTGGTGAACCCATTGCACAACCAGAAATCCAATGGTAGTGATTTCCATGAAACACGAAAAAGCTATTTCTGAAGACAAAAGACTGCAGATCTGTTCTATTGTCAACTTTGTGTGCTCTTTCCAAATATCTATATTTTCTAGCTCTTCTTTAACAATTTTTAGTGCTAAATCTACCGGGATTGACGTGAAAGCGAAATAACATCAATGGACTCAATTTGTTCATTGGGTTCTACTGTTTGGATCATTACAAAATCAATGAAATCTTTTGAATTTTTACTGCATGATCGGTCACCTTCATAGAAGTGTTTTAACACTGATGCCAAATGTTTAGAGACTTGATAGTTAGGGGATCCAATACAACTATTAATTGGTCTCATAGGTATTTTGATGTTGTTATCTACACAGTGAAATGATCAACTTTTTTTCGATGCGAGGTATTTTGCGTATTTTTGGTAATAGACGTAAAGACGTGTTTGGTTAGTAATACATCGGAACGAAGTGTGACACAGCATGAACTTTGCTTAGAAAAGGCATGAATTTTGTGTCAACAAAGGAAACACAGTTGTAGTAATGAACCATGCTGACTATCAAAACCAAGTTATAACTAAATACTTGGTGCACTGTGAATTCTACTACTACGTCGCTCTTTCTAAAAATGTATTGGCCAGGCTGTTCATATCCATTGGCTAAAACCAGCACTGAATCTTTGTTCTTATTTAATTTCTTTAGCTCTTTATCACCTGTCACTTCAATTTATGGTTGTACATTACATTCTGCCCCAGTGTCCATAAGAAATTGGGACATCTCCATTTGGTGAATCGTCTACTTAATGTAACATTGTTAAAGTTCTAGTTGCACAAACATTGTTTTCACCCGTTTTGGTGGTGCCCAAATTTCCTGATCATGCACAGCAGCGACTTTATTTTTTACTTAGCATTTACTGACAAATTTACCATGTTACAATTTAATAGATAATAAGCAGTGAAACATACACAAAAAAGCTAGGAATATACAGTAATAGAAGTCCGACTCGCTGTCATCTTCTAGCCCATGCCCCCACGGCACTGTGATGTATATCACAGGGAACCCATTATCATTACAATTTCCAGTGGTGCCTAAACTACTTTAAATTTGTACTCTAGTAAAAGTAAAAGTAATTAACAATAAAACGACTTGAGTAAGAGTAAAAAGTACTGGAAGCAAAACGTAATTAAGTAAAAAGTACAAATATCCTTAAAAAATACTTCAAGTACAAAGTAAAAGTAAAAGTACTATTGTCTGTAGCCTGTAGGCTTCCCCAATGGATTGACATACAAAAGACACAATATAACACACACATTCTACACGTGCACCATAATATACAATATTTCATGGTATATACGGCATGGTCTACTTTCCAAACCCTGTTGAAGATATAAGAAATGCATTAAATAAATAATGCATATATAAGTAAGCCACAAACGAGAGATCCCAGATGCATGTAGGGTAATATATAAGTAAGCCACAAACGAGAGATCCCAGATGCATGTGGGTAATATATAAGTAAGCCACAAACGAGAGATCCCAGATGCATGTATAGGTCCTATTACCTTTCCCAAAATTAAAATAAATCAGCAATAAATCACGTAAAATTAACAAATGTGAGAAAGTAACGAATTACTTCACCACAAAATGAAAATAATGAAGTAAAACGTTACTTCTTAAAACGACTTAGTTCCAAGTAAAAGTACTCCAGAAAAAGTTTAATTTGTTACATGCTCACTTCTCAAAAATAGTACTCAAGTACAGTAACAAAATACATTTACATCGTTACTTGACACCACTGTCGATCACTCATCAGTTGTTCAAATTTTGCCTTTAGCATCACTTACAGTTCTTTAATATACATCATAGCAACCTCATCGTTTCTCACACAAAACAAAAGCAGCAATGGATGGAAAACTTTAGCGTGTGATAATAACCTATCGGTCACTCAAAATGATAAAAATAGAAACAAATGTATTGCAGGCCTTGTGAGTTGTAATATTTCCACACATACACGTCTTTTTGTCCATTTCTGCATGTTCGTTCATGTGCAACCATTTCTGCCTCTTCCACTTTCCTGATAATATTCTTCCATCAATGCTGGTAAAGCACAATGTATTATTATTTGGCCTGTCTATCCCTGACGAGCCATTTGCCCATGATGATTGTAATTTCGTCTTCAGTCCAGCTGATCATCCCATGTGATATGCTTTACAGTTTATGTTAGCTGTTTGGAGATTTGCTGCCACGACTTCTGTCTCTGCTGTGGTATTGCAATAAACAAATCCACAATCCTCCTTTGAACAATCTTTTGCAATTTTTGTCCATTGTGTTCTTTCGTTTTTCATGTACTTGATAAAAAAAATTACTCCATACAGAAGAGGACTGTAATGGTACACTTGTTAGACCTATCATCTAACACACATCTTCTCTAATAATAAGAATGGAACTTTTTGTCTTGTAAGTTGGTTAAAAGTCATGACCCCACTGACTTACACAGTGCATACCAAAACATCAACCTCACAGGCCAGGGTCTTTTACCTGCGCTCGGGCTCCGGTGAAGACCCTGGTTCCCTCTGGTCACGCGAACGGCTAAAAATAATCACAGCTTGAGGTCCCAAGTAGGGGTGGTTGAAATCTGATATATTGTCATTAATAACTTCCGGTTTATGTAATATAACACAGAAAACTAAACAAGGAGCAGTGAATTTACTGTATCACACTGTAGTTTGGAAAATGCAAAAAAACTCGAAATGTCTGGCTTTCTTAACTTGCTTACATTTCGCCGTTGTAAATAGTTTATACTCGAATGTTGTTTTAAAGCCTAAGCAGGCTATTTGTTTGGAAAAGCTGTTCTTAGGAGTGGACGTACTGGCAGTTCTTCCGACTGGTTATGGCAAGTCATTAATTTATCACCTTTTGCCTCTGATGCTGTTCGCAAGAAAAATGTTAGAAGTAAACCCAACCAGTTTGTTTGAATGACATGACCTCTGTGCTTCTCGTTATTTCGCCCCTTAACTCCTTGATAAGCGACCAAGTTCAAAAGCTATCAGCGACTGGACTTCGGGTATCTGCACTAAATATTTTCCCAACTGCATTGTCTGAAGAGAACGAAGATGTTGACTGCGACGTTACAGAACTCGATAAGAAGCAAAAACTTGTTAATGGATACTATAACTTGTTGTTTGCCCATCCAGAAGCGTTCATGTCCAAGTTCGGACGAGGATTAGTGCACAGTGTTGTATATCAACAAAACGTGTGTGCTCTGGTAATCGATGAAGCCCACTGCATTCTTGAATGGTAAAGTATGATATTTTTGTTTATTTATTACAAATTACTTGCAGTTATGTTGCCCATTATAATACTGCATGTAATTAAGCGGCGTGCTTCTGCATGTCAGACTGTATCAAATCTAGGTAAATTTACTGCATTTGCCATCATGTATTTACAAATGTTAATAAGGCTGTTCAAAATCAAGTACAAAATGGTATTTCTATTTAAAAAATAGACTTTACCGATTATTCTCTTTCACCCAATGCCGTTTCCTTTTTAAAATATTTAGCATGTCAGGGGCAGATAAAGATTATATTACCATGTTTTCATGGACGAATTTGTTTCTTGCTGTTCTTAATAGGCTCGATAACAAAGTAATTACAAATACTCATGTTCTGTGCTTAGTGTGCCTACTATTAAAGCACATAACATGAGTAACGCCCGTATTCCAAAAGCTCACTCACACTCAATGAGTGGAGGTTCAATCTGAGCTATTGTGTGTCAAAGCTGTTTTTAAATAACTATAGGGTTAGTGTCATACCTTACTATGCGACTACTCACCCTCCAGCTATT